ATTCCCTGAACACAAGAGAGTATACAATCACTGCTATCATTGTCTGCTATATTAGTACCACAAATAGCCTTAACTTATGTGAGATTCAATCAAATGGTTTAGCGGTCAGTACTATAAAGAGTGCCAACGGCTGTGTGTCTCCACTCTTCTCAACACGCATTCAATTTGTAATCAATTTTATCAATAAATATATCGTTTCTATTAATCTCTATGTTATGACAACTGAATTGAGGCATAAAAAAATATAATGTATATAAATTTAAGTCAATGTTTATCACACCAATGAGTCTTCTTTATTGTGGTATTTTTGTCGCAGTTTCGCGATTCTCGTCCTAACTATACGTAAGTGTTTTCTAATGTACTCCTCATTGGGTGCTAATGAGGACACACCGAGAAGACAATTCTCCGCTCTCTCCAGTTCCTCCCTCTCCACATATACCACACATAAGTTATGTCTTCCCTGAATGTTATTCGAGTCGTGTTTAATAATCTGTTTATAGCACTCCTCGGCCGCCTCCAAGTCCTTCACGTGATTAATATAGATGTCTCCGAGAAGTATAAGTCCTTTGATATGATCGGAATGATGTCTCAGCAGTTGCTTCAGGAAAGGAACCGCTTCGAGCGCTCGGTTCGAGTCCGACAGGAGAAGCGCCAAATTGAATGTCGCGCTCCGGAAGTCGTCGAATTATACTTACCGTCGGGATTTGGTGAAAAGCCGCAAGCACATCAGAAACCGCAGGTAGCTTTCGTATGGATTTAACTTTATTTGGGAAAGCAACCGGAAAGGCAAGAGATACTCCTTGACATCTCGTTGTTGAGCTAAAGGGCGCAACTCATGGCTACCGCTCTCCTGTATGAGAATCGCTGAATTCATGAGCGACTGTTCGTGCGATGGATTCAATTCAAGCGCTTTATTGAAATAAACTAAAGCTTGTGTTGCTTTCGACTGTTCCAGTAATACAACGCCTAACTGTTATTTAAGAAATATTAATAATAAGATTTATAACTTATTATAAATTATAGCTTATAAAGCAATCACTTTAACAAAACGTGAAGTGCACTCACATTATAATAGATATCAGGATTGGAGGAATCAAATTGCAGTGCCTTTTCGTACACTTCTTGCGCTTCTCGCGTCCGATTCATACGTATAAGAATATCGCCGCGATTTATGTAGGCCTGTGTATAGTCGGCTCGCATACTGATGGCCTGTCTGTACAGTGCGTCCGCTTCTTCGAGACGTGATTTATTCCTAGCGATCAGATTCGCTAAATTGAGGAATACATTCAAATGAGACGGCGCTACCCGTGCCTGATATCGCTCGCCCGGACGCGGTCGGGNGACTCATTGGTGTGATAAACATTGACTTAAATTTATATACATTATATTTTTTTATGCCTCAATTCAGTTGTCATAACATAGAGATTAATAGAAACGATATATTTATTGATAAAATTGATTACAAATTGAATGCGTGTTGAGAAGAGTGGAGACACACAGCCGTTGGCACTCTTTATAGTACTGACCGCTAAACCATTTGATTGAATCTCACATAAGTTAAGGCTATTTGTGGTACTAATATAGCAGACAATGATAGCAGTGATTGTATACTCTCTTGTGTTCAGGGAATGCAACTTCTTTTCTTATAACTTATATAATAATGTATTTTATATAACATTCAACATATTCTGTATTATGTAATTCAGTATTATTATTATTTCTTATATCGGTTTACATTATGTTTGATAGAATACAAACACTTAGAAGCTTTCCATCATATTATCAGATATTAAAATGCAATCCATTCTCAGATATTTTGATGAATTAAATGCAAAATTAAAGTTTACGACAATCAATGTCAGTCTATTGATTCTCTACCATATATTACAGAATCTAATTGATTGTTCACTAAATTCTTGTTATAAAAGCTAAGATTCCCTGAAATAATATTGTTTTATAGATAAAAATAGCGAATCGATAAAAAATCTGTTTCGTCAACAAAAATATATTCAAACAAAAAGAGAAAATAAAAGCTAATCATTGATATATTCATGTTATAGTACTAAACAAATGTACTTATATTGCAGATCTGAGTGTTGTTATCGATAATAAATTGTTTTAAACTAAATCCAGTATTTGTTTGTTATAATAAAATCAATTTTTTTGGTTACGATATACCAAAAGCACAAATGTTTAAATTAATTCTTAGGAATTATTGTTTGACTTCTTTTTTGTAATCTTTTTTATTTGTTTAATAATCTTGTTTTTTAAACTTTTTTGTAAATAATATTATTAAAAACTATTTTTGACATCAATTATACTATTTGTTTGTGAGCTTAAAAATAATAAAAGATGTTATTTATTAAAATATAAATTTTATAGTATTATTGCATTTCTTCTCGACATCACTTTTATTTTATGTCATAAATAAACAAAATTTATCTGAATTCCCAATCCGTGTCTAACATTTGAGTTCATATAATTTAAGTCCATTTTTGTTTGCATTCTTTTAAACGGATTCTTTCGACATCCCTTCGGGTCTCCATATAATCCAAAAGTGATTCAAAATTTATTTTCTATAAAATTGAGTTCAAAAAAAGTATTTTTAATAAAATATTTTCTTAAAAAGTTGATGAAAAGATGCCACCAATTCATTCACTAATCGATTATCTTTAAACTCATTTTTCACTTTCATATCCTTTCCTTTCATCGCAAATATGAAACTCATTTATGAAACTAATGAGAGGAACAGTGTTTTAAATGTGAAACTATTTTATACGTAATTGACTATAAATGGGAACAAAATCTACAAAATATAAAAAATGTTTTAAAAAAGTTTTTTTTTCAGTCTATACTTAAAGTTAGCTAATATTTAAAATTCAGATAAATTGTAAAATTAATATTCATAATATTGTGTGGATAAATATTTATATAAACATTGCAAAATATATAAATAATAATACATATGAGAAATATATTATAAATCTAATATTAATAGCAATCAATTTTTCAAACCTTTCACTTTTTTCTTAGAGCGCAATATTATAAGAAAAATACTATATTATAGTGAATGTTGACAGACATACAGACATCCCCTCAACTCAATACAAGTCTATAATTTGAGAGCCGATACACATGAAAGTGAAGCGAGAGCTCAGTTGTGTGGAAATGAGATAACGGCGATACAAAAAAGGAGGCATAATATGCTATAATATTGCATAAAATATTTTCTTATACACTAACCTCACGGTTCTGTTGGGCAACACAATTGTTCACATAATTCTTATACCATTACTTAAGCTTTTATTTATTTCTCAAGACATTTAAAAAACAATTTGTAGCAAACATTGCGATAATAGTCGTTAAATATGGTCTGCAATTCATTTGAAATTCGTTTGTTTCGTATAAATAACAAATTCCCCCAAATGTAAGGAAAACGTAAAACATATTAATTGAATCATAAATACATGATTACGTGAATACATCAATAAATTTGGTGACAATACATGATTCCTGTGGAGAATTAATCGGTTTAAAAGTTAAAATATTAATATGTTTTTACTAGCGTTTACAGCTATATCTTCTGACTCTAAACTTTAGGCATTTAAAACTTATTAAAACACGAATTTGAAATATAATAGATATGATTTTATTAATAAAAGCATAGAAACCATATTTTATAATAATTCATAGAATATTGAGATTTTCAAAAGGAAAAATAATTAAATTTAAAATATCTACACTAAAAATACATGTAAAACTACATTCACTTTTATAACATCAACAAATTCTTATAAAATATCAATAAAATCCTATTAATTAATTATTTTTACTATTATTTATATACAGAATTGCTATATTAGTTAATATTTATAATTGACTTTGTCAATATCATAATTTTTAGGTTTACAAGTTTTTTAAAAGTAGATTAAATATACTATACAATAGTTTTATAAATAATTTATAAAAATACAAAAATTATAAAAATTATTAAAAGTATATTTCCGTTGACACTATTTTAATGCAAAAGTGATGCAAAGAATCTCATATAACATATGCATTAATTCATTTGTATTGTAATATATAATACCTTTCATTATTTAGTGAATATTAAACAATCGTTTTATTTAAGTCTCATTTATTTCATGCAATAAAATACTGTAATTTTTCTGTCATTTTATTTATTGTTAAATATTTTATTTTTGTTTTCGACAGAGAATAACGTGTCTATACTTATGTTTGAAATAACTTAATAATGCATTAAAAGTAACTTTAATTAGACATTTAGACATTAACTACGATTATTTCAAAAACATTTTTAATGTTCTCAATGCAGTGTTTTTAATATTTATTTGAATTTTATTGCTTATTGTTATTAATTACATGTAATCTGCAAAACAAAAAATATAATGAGAGTTAATAACACAGAAACAGTGAGAATATATTTTTACTAATTAATGGGATTAAGATATTTGTCACATAACATTAGCCTCATCCAAGTGCCCAGCATCCAAGTGCCCACTAACCACGTGACTATAGTATTCGCTGTACATTAGCTCTATATTACTTCACATAACAATTGTACAACGAATACTATAGTCACGTGGTTAGTGGGCACTTGAATGTTGGGCACTTGGATGAAGCTGATGTAAAATAACTTTCATTAGTATTACTATAATAATCCATTTTAATGCAGTTTTATTTATTCTGTCAAATATTTTTTGTTTCAAACATTTCAGTTGAATCAGACTTATATTATTGAGACATTTGTTAACTCATATAATTTAATTAAAATATATTTTATTAAAATTAAATTAATTTTGATGTCAAAAACTTATGAATTGATCAAAACAATGAAAACTAGAATTGTCTTAATATTTATGTCTCATTGAATTTGTTTTTATAACTTCTTTTAAACATATATTTCTATGAAAAGATGTTATAAAAGTGAACAAGGTTTACACGACGCTATGCGTTAACCACAATTCAGGGATTCATCAAAAATTTCAAATTTTTTAATGCTATTATTAAAATGTATTTAAAATCTTAAATATTTCTAACAATATTTATTTACATTGTCAAATTCGTTTAGTCAAATCCCATAGGATTGCCATAGACTTGTTAAACCTATGTCATAGACTTAAGCTGTAACCCCATAGAAACCCATGTTAAAGCGTCCCTATATTAAATCTATGAGAGTTTCCCCATGTTAAAGTATAGTCATAGGATTAATATGGATTCCCACTTTAAATCCTATAGGGTGAGAGGAGTAGGAGGAGAGGTAAGATAAGGGGCCTCACGATTCTATAAACCATATTGAATCTTCATATATGAATTGTGGTTAAAGATTAAATATAAATTCATTTCTTCCTCCCTCTCAAGCAATCAGTCATATAAAATACTGTAATGTTATTTACATTACAGTATTTTAGTGTGTAATTCATTGAATATTGAATATAATAGACCTTAACTTAAATTTAGTGGAAGAATAAAGATTTGTAATGTTTTTCAATATTGAAAGCAGTCAACAAAGAGACTGCTTTAGACTCAAATACAGGATATTATAATTGGATTAATTTTTGAAAAATTGATGTCACTATAAATTATGACAAATTCAGCTCTTGTTATATAAAAATTATAAATTACTTTTGTTAATACAGTATTTACATTTTTAAATAAAAATATAATATATATTGTTGTATTTAATTAGTGTAAATAATTTTTTGTCTGCCAGTTATTAATTACTAAAACAGATTATAATTCTTTAGCAAATTAATAGTTACAAAATATTTAAAAATTATTTATTATTTTTAGAAACTTACAAAATCTCCTTACAAATTATTTAGATCTGCATTGACTTTAATTGTAGCCCTTAATAGTGTGTGTTATTAAATATATAACTCATTTTAAAACAATTATTAAATCAAATGTTAACACAATTATAAAATTAATTGTAATATTTTGTTAATTAAATGTCTTAAAGAATATTCTGTAAAATCTCAAGCATTGAATTGAATGCCATATCATATGATATGCACTCTTCCGACACCTGTTGTCAAACAATAGCGAAACCATTGAAAGCATTGCCGGAAAGCAGACAATCATAACAAACATTACATCATTTTTGGCATAACATGTGATTCGCAAACGGTTTACAAGTTTTGTCATTAAATCGCTATTTATATTGAATTTATTGTTTG